CCTGAGGAGGGGATTGTCATGTCTAGCGGCTACGTCAAATCGTTTCTCCGCATTTTGTCTTATTGTTTGTGTAGCGTTTGTGGATTGTAAGTCTCGTAATATGTCAGTGTTTCTTACGTACCAGGGCGCGTCGGTGGCCGTGCGGAGGGCTATGTTTTCCACAGCCTGTAATGATTTTAAGTGGCTTTTTGCCGCGTGACCCCACGCCGTGGAGGCGTAGGTTAGCTGCGGTTGAAGTACCACCTTGATAAGCGTTCGCTTATTCCTTAAACTGAGGGTGTTTCCACCTTTGAGTAAGGGATAGAGCCTAGCCCTGGTGGTCTTCGCTCGCGCCACCGTCTCCACGATGTGCGGTTTCCACGTGAGACGCTGGTCCATCGTCACGCCCATGTATCGTGTTTGTCGATTCCAGGAAATGGGTTCCTGGGATAATGTCAGTCTGTCGAGATTTTGTGGGATTTTTCGTTTGGTAAAAAGGATAGCCGAACTTTTGTTGAGATTAATTTTGACTCTCCACCTGTTGCACCAGGTTTCAAGTTGGTCTAAGGAGTTTTGGAGGAGGGAGGCGGAATATCTAGGATCTACGGATTGGGATGTGATTGTCAGGTCGTCGGCGTATAAGTATATGTTGGTGTTGGGGGGATGTGAGATGTCGGAGTTGTAAATGGTGTATAGGTGTGGGGACAGGACGGTGCCTTGGGGGACACCGGCCTCCATGGGACGGGTGGTGGAAAGGGAATCTTGGATTTGGATGCGGAATTTTCGATGGTGTAGGTAGGATTTTTTGAGTTTGGTAAAAGATATAAGATATTGGTTCGTGAGCATTTTCATTAGTAGGCCTTCATGCCAAACCGTATCGAAGGCCTTTGCGACGTCCAGGAAGACAGCACCAGTGTACTGTCCCCTGTTGAAGGCCGCCGTGATGTGCTCGGTAAGGCGAAGGATTTGGAGTTCAGTGGAGTGATTGGGTCGGAAGGCGAACTGCTCGTCTGGAATGACTTGCAGTTCTTGGGAGTGGGTTCTTAGACGGGTTAGGATAATTTTTTCTACCACTTTGCTCATAGCCGGGAGCAGGCTAATGGGCCGGTAGTTGGATGGGATGGTGTGATCTTTGTTGGGTTTTGGGATAAGGATTATGTTTGCTGTTTTCCAGCGGGTAGGGAAGTGTCTTAGTCTGAGTGTCGCGTTTGTTATGTTTAGTAGGGCCATGAGGCCCTTGTGTGGTAGTCGTTTAAGTGTCGTGTTATGTATATTGTCGGGTCCGGGTGTTTTTTTGTTTTTAAGTTTGCGTACTGTCAGTCTTAGTTCGTTAGGAGTTGCGGGGGGGTTATGTCATTGTCAAGCGGCTACCGTCTCTTAACGGGCCGTGATACTGTACAACGTTTAGTATACGCAAGTAATACAGATCGAAACAGTCTGAATTCGTGAATTCCGCTTCTCTTTTAATCGTTGTTTACGGCGGTTGTCATTGAACGAGGCGGCCAACATGGTGAAAAATTGCGGCGTGGAGGAACGAGTGACGCGTATATTGAAGCAGCGTTGTCATCGCTCATCGTCTGCCTTTAAATTAAACAGTTTATACGATACACGTCGCCCCGTGCACGATCACAGGGAGTAGTTAGGATATTCTGTGGCACAATTATAACTGTTCTTAGTTAATATTTGTTGAAATGTTTCCTAGTATGATCCAGTATGTATTTTATTGGAAACGCCATTTTCCAGATGGAAAATTGAGGAAAAAAGGATTTTTTAAATTGCAAGAGGGCTGTGCCTTATTTTCTCGATATGGAAAAAAAGGGGAAGTCAAAAGACAATGTGTACGTTCGGATGTTTTGGAATTAATGGTATTCGGAGTATAAGTGGTTGTGTGGAAGTGTTTATTTAAAAAAATTTCTATATGCCGAGTTTAATTGTTAGTAAAGTCGGGTCCTGTAATTCATGTCAAACATAATAATACCTAGAAATTTGTATCCTGTTGTAAATAGTTAGTTGTTCAAATTTCATTTAATTCCCTCAAGTGAAAATCTAGATTTTTGGAAAAAACATATTTTATTTTAAAACTTGACGACTTGTAGCTAAGGAACGAATCGAAATCGAACCCATGTTGATATGAAAAAATAACCTTGTTTTTCGGTTAGGAATCTGCCTCCGAAAGTTGGCCCATATTTTCTGAAACACCCTGTATATAAAATTAGATGAAGAGATCAACTTTCAGTTCCGAAACTAGAAGACATTTAACATTGTATCTGTACGACTTTCTAAATTAATTACCTGTTAAATGAAAAGTTGTTTCGAAATGGGTAAAATTTATTTATCGTATTCACATCACAGAGAAACAAACATACAATGAGAGTAACAATAAACTCTGTTATGAATGTTACATTTACTGATATTGGAAAACATGTACACCATTCATTGTGTATCTAGCACTGTATCTCTTATTAATCAACCATCTTATACTTAATTATTTCAATAACTAAGCATAGGTTAATGCATGTGCTTACTAGAATTACGCAAATAGAAATGTTCGATTATTTGGTACCATTATAAATAATATTGGCATATATTTCTATTTAGTTAATTCTAAAGGTAGGTAACATAAAACGTTTCATGGTATAATAAAAACAATGTTTCGAAAACAGTAAGCAACTTTATAGGTCTCTATACTATTGGTCTAGATCAGGGGTCGGCAAACTTTTAAGCTGGAAGAGCCATCTGCAACAAAAATATCAATTTAATGAATTTCAAAGAGCCAGGAATTTTTATTTCTGTTTTTACATTTTATTTCAAATTTGAATCGGATATGGAAGTCTATACTCGTCTTTATGTGTACTCGTGTGCTGCGTGTCTGTCCACTTTAACTTTTAATTTTTAGGGGAACTTGAAGAGCCGCAATTGTCTCTTGAAAGAGCCGCATGCGGCTCGCGAGCGGCGGTTTGCCGATCCCTGGTCTAGACGAATCAAAATATTAAAAATGGTGCTTAAACCACGAGACGTTATAAACCATAAAAAGTGAACTTATTAAGGTAGAAAGGATATCAAAAGTATTAAGAACTATGAAGAGATAGTTCTTACAAAAAAGAACCCTCAAAATTTAATAGAAACATAATTTACTTCAAATAAATGTAATGTTTCCTCAACTGAAATTATTAACTTCATTTATATAAAATCACAATCATTTCAAAACTGCCCAATATGTATTATCCCGTGTATTCTTGTATTGTTAGCATAAGTGAATCCTGCCTGGAACTTTCTTCTGTAAAATCGGACTTGCTTATTTGAATTTCATAAATATCACTGAAATTTATTAAAGGCTTATTTGGCTTCTGACTACAAACAGTGAAAAATGGTAATCATTTTGGACTATTCTGGAACCATTCTTTATCAGAACCTAAACAAGTTTTAAGCAGAAAATATTTGTATAAATTTTCCTTATTTTTTTATTAGGGGAATGTTAAAAACATGTAACTAGTTACATAATCCTTGCAAAATATATGGAATAGAATAGAAATTTGACCCAAAATTCATAAAATATATAGGTACTCAATTAAATTTCTTGGTTCTTATTATAAGACACTATCCCCAGATCTATAGAACAATTTTTTTTAATATCAAATATTTTAATATTGTGCATAAACTAAATAAAATAATTATATACACTAAGCTGTAGTTGGATTTATGGTTTTAGAAGGTAGCCAAAAAACCATAATAAAATTATTTAAAATAAGCAGGTATGGTATCAGCTAACAAAATTTCTATATCTAAAAAAAAAAAAAAAAAAAAAAAAAAATCATGAAATGGAAACGGTGTAGGCCAAAATTTTATGTAAAAAATGTCTTTTTAATTTTCTTTATCACATGACCTAGGTATGGTAAAAAATATTATTGAATATTTCTCCTCTTTAATACATTTATGCTTTTTTGGCCCACCTAAAAGGAATTTCGGCTATAAAACATACCACAATAAATGTCCACTTTGGACTACTTTTTCTCTATCTGTATAGATGTGAAATACACCGTTGGTCTAGTTATTTTATGTATTTCAGAGATATTTAAAAAAAACCTGGCATTAAAACAATAAAATGTTTTTAAGTTTTCATTTTATTGAAATAAATTACAAAAATGTTATAATGCCGAAGTTACAATAAGAACATAATAATTGACTAGAAAATTAATAGACTTGATACTACCAAACATTAAATACTTACAAATATATTTTTTTATACACAACAGACTTGACTGTACTATTAAAATATAATTAACATAAAACACATAACATAAATACACTTTCCTAAAAAAAACAGTTTTTGCAAGTTAAATACATTATGTACCTCTTCCATTCATTCATGTTAAAGTATGTTATAGTTTATTGTTCAGAAATTATTGTGAAAAATAAATATAACTTGTTATCGTCAAAATATACATTTATATCCTTATTTATCATGACATTTTAATATGTGACATATATGTTCGCCAAAGTAGCTAAGCACATTACTTTGGAAATTACTTGGAAAACTAATATTCTTTTTTATAGCAAGGGGAAGAAAAATAAAGCCAGTAAATTATTAAATAATGCAAACCACCATTTCAACTTCAACCATTATGAATATATTATTTATTAACGATTCCTTTATAAATTTTGTCGACTGTTTCTCAGTAATACCAATTGTGAAACAATTTAATCTATTAAGAAAGTAAAACCAATTTCTGTGATTAAAGTTAATCTAAAACATAACATTTTTTATATAAAGAATAGAAAAAGAACCACAGATCTAATGCTAAAATTTAAAGTCCTCATCAGACGTAGCTGGTGAAAATTAAAGTGGTCGTATTTTCATAAGAGCAGGATCCATGCTGTTTGTTCGGGGATGATTTCTAGACACACATAAGGGAACAAAAATTTCAAAAGAATTAGAAAAATATTTTAAATGCTAAGATTTCGAAGACGTGACAATTTTTAGATCCGTCTGAACATAGAATTGAAAAAAAAAATGATATGCACCCCATGCTTCATTATAAAATTATAATTACTTTAATTAATTTTCACAAGTCACATGTATGTATCCTAAGAAATTTTGAAATATAATATAAAAAAAATTAAACGCAATGGTGGTGGATATTTGTTAGGAACAAGATTAAAACTTCGGAATAATAACCAGAATATGTTTTGCGTTTATACACATAATTACAAACAGTTTCACACATCCAAAATTCTTGTATCTTTTAATAAATAAATAGACTACCATATTCATCAAGTCATCATAATGAATGGTGATACATTACATGTAATTTCTCTGAAGAGCTTTATATCTGTTAAGTGTTTTATATATTCCTATAACTCTTCAAACTATTTATCCACTAACATATTTTGAAACATTGTTTATTGCCAAAGTATCTGCTTTAGCCATTGGTCACATAATATTCTTTCAGTCTTCATAAAGATATTAGTTTATGATTTTACCAAGAATAAATATATTAATAGTAAAACAAATAATGCTAATTTTAAATTAATAATCAGCAGAACAAAACTTCTATATCTTACAATTAAATCAGTACCTATATTTATTTATAAAATATATTTACCTAAAAAATTAAAACATGTAAATAATTATATGTACCGTTATGTATGTTATGTTAGTTTTTATCATATAAAATACGTCAAGTACAATTTTTTTTTAATGGATGATTGTATTCCAGTGATCGTTACCTCTAAATCAAATTTATGCTTTCTTAGATACTCATTTTGTATTTGTAAATAATAAAAGATATGAGGCAGATACAAAATATTTTAGGAATGTATCAATTAAAAATGCATGTTTTAATTACAATGATTTGAAATTAAATGCATAAACTACACTACAAAATGGTACTGAAGCTACTTGTTTTTAATGTAAAGCGCCATATAATTATATGTACACATTAAATGTATATTTTAATTATTATATTTGTATCTATTATAAAGGTCCTTAGTTTCCTGATTTGTAAATATCTTTGTCATACCTTATAACAACAAAACACAGAATTTTGTTATTATACAGCAATGTAAAAAAAATAATTACATATAAATAGGCATTGTAATTAGGTACATATAAATAAAATATTTTCATTCTTTACTTAAAATTAGTTTATACTTGATAGCTACTTGAGCTGAAAGAAGTAATTTTGGTTCTCTTTCAAACACATAGATACTTATTGGTAGAAATATTTGGTAACTAAATTCTATTATAGTATAAAGTTAGTTTTGTTAAAATTATATAAACATAAATAACATTATTTAAACTTACAAAAATATTCTAAATGAAACAAATAGTAACTTACAAAAAAGCTAATAATACGTCAATAAATGCAATCTCTCTAATGGCACAATTTTATACACAAAAATTTACATTAAATAAATCATTTCCCTTAAAATCATTATTTCCATATTGGAAGTAAATTTATTTTGATGGAAATTATCAAAAAATTTGTGCATTCTCTATTTCTTCAATGTTGAATTTTGGGCTGTAATATAATGTGCATCTGATATAATCAAATATTGTGCAATTATTTAGTAAAAAAAAATAACCTGCTTGAACTTTGATATTTCAATATTTTTATTACCTTTAAGATGTACTGTATTATCAAGCACAATAAAGCTACTGTTTATTGATTTTTACATATCTATTTTAATTATTTAACTTATTAAATTTATGTAACAAAAAGAACACATTTCAACATCTCACTCAACTTTGGTACAGTTCCTTTTTTAAAACACATTTTGATATTTCCAACAAATAAATTATGAAAAATTATGTATTTTTAAATAGTTGGAAAAATCAAAATATTTCAAGAAATACATCAGCTTATCGTTTCTTTTTTGGCTCGACCATGTACTAAAGTCTTTATTGTGAGGAAAGGAATAATAATTACAAGTTTTTCAGTAGAGGCCGCAGTTGCGAAGATTATTAGCTATGATAACGTCGGTGACTGCATCAAATACGAACTGAATATTATGTGTGTCAGTGGCACAAGTCATATGGCAGTATATTTCTTTGGTTGTAGATTTGTTCTTCGCTTCAAATTGTGCTTGTATATATGCTGCAGCCTCACCATATTCTTGTGCACCTAAACAAACAATTTTTTAATATTCTTAATTTTATTCAACAAATACTGTACAGAATAAATTATGAGTTAAAAGAATGGATAGTAACATTGAAACATGCACTGTAACTTTAAAAACTTCCCCCTCAATATTTCAGAAGTTGTTTGAAATATTAAAATTTCATGATACAGATCAATTTTTGTTTATAGACATTTATTATTAAAAATTTGGATTTGTTTCATTATCGCTAAGTGACAGATTTTGGAAAGCTACCGAAGTTTATACATTTTTTTGAAAATTGTAAATAGAATGTATTTCTATTCAGTAAAGAGATGACAACCAAATGGAAATGTCAGTCAACCAACTTCATGGTGATACCTTTTTTATGACTGGAAATATATGCAAAACTGTAGAATATGTGCTCCAAAAAATGTGAAAAAGTAATTAGTTTTCTTAATAAACATATGGCTAACAGGCTTCATTCTGAAAATATTTGACAAAAATCAATTTTAAAATGCCCATTCAGGAAGTAGTAAATTTTTCCATTTCCAACTAAACTTGCGTGCATAGAAATCGGCCCACTGCAAACTTTTGACTTTAATTATATATATTTTTTAAACTATTCATAAGATTAAATAACGAAATATGCTGTTTGAAAGACAATTTAATATACTATGAGTTAAATTTATTACAATTTATTTTCGTTCTTTAGTTTTAACAAATGAAATTAATGTATGACACAAATTAACTTTTTTATTACTAAAGGAAATGTGGTTATTGACAATTATCTAAATTAACACTTAACAATTTTAATAATGGGTATGACCCCCTCTTGCCCTAATAACATCTCGCATACGATTAGGCATACATCGTATCAAGTTCGCTATTGTTTCTTGTGGGATGTTATACCACTCTTCTTCTACTGTATCAATAAGTTCTGGGATCGAGGTTGGGGCATGAAGTCGAGCCTGAATGTTTCGTTTTAGCTTATCCCATAAATTTTCAATTGGATTTAGATCAGGACTGCATGTTGGCCACTCCATAACCCGAAAACCTCGCACGATTCTTGCGGTGTGCAGCCCCGCATTGTCATACATAAAAATAAATTCGTCTCCAATGTAGTCAATGTATGTTATCAGATGAACTGCTAAAATCTCCTCGATGTACCTAGCACTCGTTAAACCTCCTCCCTGTGACCACGATCGCCCCTAGTGACGAAAGCAGGGTCGGTTCATGCTTCCATAGAAATCGTGCCCCAGATCATGCAGGAACCGCCTCCATCAGCAATTCGCTCTTCAATGCAGCATTTTGCAAATCGCTCTCTTGATCTCCTGTACACTTATCTTCTTCGGTCGCTACCATAGAGGCATATTCTGGTCTCATCTGAGAACAGAAGAGATCCCCATTGTTCTAATGTCCAATTTAGATGATCCCGTGCAAAACACAGACGTGCTTGATAATGAGTTGCGGTAAGCCTTACACCAATCGCAGGTCTTTTAGGGGTCAGGTTACTTTCCTGCAGCCTTCTTCTTACTGTCCACCGACTAATAGCCACTCTTCACACTTCACGGAGCTGTTGTTACATTTGAACTGCATTAAGGTGACGATTTCTTAATGTTGACGCAATAAAGTGGTTATCACAAGCTGTTGCACATCGTATTCTGCCTGTTCCAGGTCGTCTATGAAAGGATCCAGTCTCCTCATGCCGTTGACACACTCTTCGAACCGCTGTATCCATGTTATCCAAACACCCTGTATATATATTTTCGCACCATCTGTATATTATTTTACAACAATTATTAACTTATAATTGTCTTTTATTATTATACTGACAATAGAAAATCGCCTGTTGAGTTGCTAGCTGATAATAAATCATATAAAAACCCAACCAGCCACTCAGGAGGACGACTATAGATTCAAACTTTATGCTGTTAGTTGTAATTAGACAATAAGTGTTTTCTTCAAATACGTGTTATAATTCAAGTTATCTCCGGTTAAGTGTTGCTGAAATTCATTGGATTAGAACTGCTAGGGGTTGGTCATCTAGCCGCAGCTTCCCTGTAGAGAACAAACCAATAACTTCCAATTGTGAAGTAACGATTCGTTAGCTAAGTGCTTTTTCGATTAGAGCAATAGCTTGGGCAGCTTTTTGCAGTGTAGTATGCATCAAGGAGGTTTATCTGATTTGGAATTGACAAATATTCATAAAAAAAATAATATAAGCTTATTAATATGAAGAAAATCCTCAAACAAAATTATGACTAGTTTGGATACCTAAGAGACGAGATATTAATAAAATAATTTTTCGCGATTTAGTACGAAGTCTTATGATTATGCAGATTTTTTTGGTTTTTCCACTTATAATGCGCAACAATTGACGAACCGATATCTAAGGAACCATATGATAGCTCGTAGAAATCGATTAGGTACTTGTAAGATACATAATTTATAATAATTCTCCTTCAAACTGCTGTCATTGACTAACTTATGCTCCATATGCGTGATAGCGGCAACGCTGCGGTCTCGACGTAGTGTATTATTTGAAATTTGCAGGTGTCCAAGCAAACAGAATGACCGAACGCGAGCGAGCGAACGCCGGGGCGAGCGAGCCAGCCAAGTGCAACGTTGACAAATCTAAAGGCTTTCTACTTTAGTCACTAGCTAATCTACAAAAACTCTCGTTAGACTTTAGATGTACCTCCGTACCCAATAAACCTCCTTAAACTAACACACTTTAAAACTACTGAAATTATGAAAAAAAATAATGTACAAGTTTCAATTGCAAAGGTAATAATATCGATCTGTCACAAGTTTGTCATTCTCGTTATAACCACCACATAAATACAATTCATTTATTTATCTGTTGTTACGCATATAAACGACAGACATTCTTGATAAATTTAAGCTCATATTAAAGCATATTAAATTGTCTTTCAAACAGCATATTTCTTTTTTTAATCTGATGAATAGTTTATAAAATATATATAATTAATGTCAAAAGTTTGCAGTGGGCCGATTTCTATGCACGCAAGTTTATTTAGATCAAATTCTCCCAACCGCTGTTCCATCAGAGAAAGGATAGTATTTTTTAAAATTTTACTAAGACATTTTTTTTATTCTAGTTATCCTACAGTTAAATTAGTATCCTGTATCAGAGTTGCCAAAACAAATTTGTAGCCATACCATGAGAAAAAAATAAATAAAAAGCAGCAACAGATTTCTCATTAGTTAAATTTTGTTTAATTGTTTAGGGTAAAATAGTCACATTTTTTAAATATTGATATTGTAATACAAATTTATAGATATTGTTTTTCAAATATTTTTTATGTAAATAAATTTACTGTTACTATTACCGATCGTTAAAAAAATGCTACGACGTTTATTGGTCCATGAACGAAAAATGTTGATTTTTTTGGATGACTCTTATATTCCACAATGTAACTTTATCTCTGATTAAAAAAAACATGAATACTGGTTTTCACTACTGACATTTTCTTTTGTTTCTCATCTTTTTACCTAAGCAATGGGAAATGTATCATTCAATTTAAAATTTTCTAGAAAATGTGAAGTTTGTTAATTTTTCAAAAGCCACTTAAGGGTGAGGATACAAAGCAAAATAATTAGATGAAAATAACATCACTGCAGAGACACTGGTTGACCTTCTATCACTCCTTATTAAATTTGGTATCAGAGAAAAAATTCAAGACAACTCTGGATAGATGGAAAATGGATTGTCATTGAAAAGTAAAAAATGGCATTCCACATTGTTTGGCTGCATTCAGAAAATCACAACTATTACAATTCAATGAACAATCGTGTGCTGAACACACTTGGAAAAACAAGCATGTGCCATTTTAATAATTACATATCTAATATTTCTCAATTAAAAATGAAAAGAATTTCAAAACATTATTCAAACTTGTCCTGTGTATTTATTACCTATTCAATGTTACTGTCGTTTCAAGCTTGTACTATTATACAGGGTGATTCACAACGGTGACCAAAAATGAAACCTAGTATTTTTTGGTGGGGGTTTTTCGTATAAAATTTTTATCTAGGACGCATCGTTCAAAAAATATTTTTAATTTTTTTAAATAATTTAAAAGTAGGCCGTGACAGTAACAACGTTGTTATTGTTTAACAATGTGTATTATTATTTAATTAAAATGGGTTACACAGAAGTAGAAAATTGAAATATTATAGTAATTAAAATAAAGTTTTTCTCCGTACTCTATTTTAATCCTAAATAATGTTTCAATTTTCTACTTATGTGTAACCTATTTTAATTAAATAATAATACAAACTGTCAATCAATAACAATGTTGTCATGACATTATTACATGTCACTGTCACGACCTACCATATAACATTGTCCATGAGTAAATTAGGCCTCTCACGGCCTAATTAGGGAGATTTTTTTAAATTGCCTATATGCAGTTTGGACCATATCAATGTCCGATATATCAAAATAGATTATAACAGATCTGTAAATCCTTGCGTAATTGGAAAAAAGGCAAAAATGCCTGGAGGAGGTCTAACAACTACAAGATGCCTTATTTTCTTAATAAAAAAACCTTTTAGTTTTTTTACAGTAACTCGCTTATTCTTAAAGATGGACCCAACAAATCCTATATGAACTCAAGAGGAAACATTCTTTCCGAATATGTAAAAATATACAGAGGTTCCACTTAAATTAACAAAGTTAACATCAGCAGCCATTTTGTTTGGATTTAATTTTTTTTCTATCATTTTCGAAAAATTCATAAAAAATCATACAACTTTTATATTTAACATTTTTTTATAACTTAAAACAAAAAGGGGGTTCAAAATATAGTGAATCACCCTGTACTTTAAGTGTACTTGGTACTCAGTCCCGAGTACCTTTTATTTTAGATAGCAAAAAATGTACTAGAGGACTTTCCCGTTTCAAATACATTGTCTTACGCAATGAGTATGCGAGCTCAGCCTCTGTATAAATATGAGCTCCATTTACCCCTGTATATATCAAATTATGTATAGTAGTGTATTAGTTTTTTGTCACAGACACATCCAATGTTGTCCCGTATTCTTTTTTTAATTTAAGAGTGGAAAATGTGAAAATAAGTTAGTGCCAATATTTCAGAAAAAAGTTCAACTCTTAACTATTACACAAATTATGGAAATTTTCTTGTGATTTCTTTTCCAGATAAAACATTTATATTTTTTATATATCTACATAGAGTGCTTTCTTAGAATTTTAATTCAAAATTTAATAGATCTATCTGTACCTAATATTAAAAGAGATATTAATAGTAAATAACAATATATGCTTCCGACACACTTTTTAACCATCTTTATTATTAGAGATAGACCTCTTAAATTTATATCAATATAATCGTAAGAGAATGTTCCACCAGAACATGCAAAATATACAGAATAAGTACTCTATTTGAAAAATACCCTTTGGGGTATATTTTCAAAACACAACATACCATTGTTTTTTTCTAAAGAAAAAAATATATGATTTTTTTATTACAAAAATAAGTGATAATGGGAGTAAAATGTTGCATTTATACAGGGTGTCCCATTCATGTTTCAAAAAAACTTGTGTGCAAGTTCCTCATGGAAAAATAATAGGGGTAGTTCATGTAAAGTTTTTTTTTTCTTAGACGCCCTGTTTTCGAGATACAGTGTGTTGAAGTTGTTACTTTCCAAATGGTTTTCCTAAATTATCTTTAAATCGGCTAAAGATAAAAATGTTAAAATGTGTTACACAAGTAAACATCAATTGTGCGTTAAGAATAATGTGCAAATGGTCTTTCTGAAAAGCAGTGTCGACGATACAAGTAATTGGAGGGGTACAATATGTTAAAAGTCAAAGAATTATTTGGCGGTACAAAAATATCCAGAAATTAACAGAATTTTTTTTATACAAATGTGGTCATAACCCCCAAACCCCCCCGGTTTGCACACCATGGGTTATAACGTGGATCAACTAATACCCTCAAAAATAATAATGTTTGTTAGTAACTTATCGGCTAAAACTTATCCCTCTCCTTCAAGGCAGTTAAAAATTATTGACAAAAAAACAATTTATTTAAAGCCATCTTCAAACGTGTCTATCTCCCGTAAGATGGATTTGCAGACCCATGTTTATATCTTTTATAAATTATTAAAATTATTATATTAAAATAATATAAATTTTTATCTTATTTTGAGTCGACAAATCTACCCTCAAAGTGAAGTACCACTATTTCCGAACACCCTGTATATACATATAGAACAGCCAATTCAATAGGACAGAAATGAAACTCTAGTGTTACCTAGTGGGTAATAAATTAGCATTAGTTAAATATGCCAAATATAAACTATTATAGGAATAAATGACAAATGTCAACTTACCAGCATATTCAGGAAAACATATCGTCAAAGGCGATTTCCTAATTTTTTCTTCAAATAAATCTTTTTTATTGAGGAAAAGAATAATGGATGTGTCAGTAAACCATTTATTATTACAAATAGAGTCGAATAATTTTAAACTTTCTTGCATCCGATTCTGAAATTCAAACATGAGTAAAATAAAATTGTGTCATAAACAATGTTTTTACAAATTTAAAATTAAAAATAATAGACAGACAAGTTTATTAACACTCAGCGCTCAAGAATTACTGAACAACTCAAACAACTGCAACTGCACAGATTCTGATTCTGAGATGTCAAAAATGTCGTGTCCGCGTCCATCCAAGGGAGAGTCCAGTTAAGGGAGAATAATTTGTACAGTATTTCCTAATAACGAATTTGGAACTGTGAAAAAGTGTCCGTATAGTGGAGCTTTCCGTATATCAGAGGTGTCCGTTAAGGGAGATTTCACTGCACTTTCTTTGTTTTTCTAATAAAATATGATTTCGCAGAACTTTCTATATATAGGACAGGTATAAGAATATAGAGTAACAAATTGGAAAAAGTTCCTATCCTTCTAAAATATGTTACAAGCGAGTTACAACCCCTTGAAGTAAAAATTTTTATTTTTATTTAGCCGCAGCTGTTAACAAAATATATTTTTCATGAAATTTGATGGTGTTGAAATAAAGATCAAACATAAATCAGAAAAGGCAGTTTTGGTGAGAGTGAGGGCTATTTTTTCAATCTAACTTGACTACTTTTTCAATATTCTGTCTGATAATTCGGAAAAATTAGACAATATAGAATAAAAAGGAACTCTTGTTTGAAATCAATAAACTTGATCATTTTCGATATACTTATGCAAATAAATGTTGAAATTTGTATATAATAAGGTAAAATTGCCCTATCATATGATAAAATTATATTACATTAATTTTCTACATTCCTAAAATGTTGAAAAATCTGTCAGATCATTTTTATAATTACAATTTTTCGCAGATCCGCAGCTAATGCGCAATAATCTCACTGATGGTTCAGCAGGGCTACTAAAACGTAAGTGAACTGCTGATTCTTATGTATAAGTAATTCCTAAGTAAAGACGTAAGACATTGCATCGCCTTGCCTCGCGGACAGGTTTCAAGTGAAAGATTTTTAGGGATTAATAACATTAGAAATTCCTGACAAAAATTCAATTATTGCAGACAAATTTTGATTCTTACAAAATATATTTTTGAACAAATATCTACTAATTGACAGATGTAATGTGCAAATTACAGTCCTTTTTAATTCAGTATAAAAATGTTATATTTTCTTTAACATTGATTGAAAAATCTCTGAAATAATATTTTGTTAACAGATGTTATAACTGATCTGAAGGCTTCACTGGCGGTTGTCAATATGCTGTCTCTTGAAATGTTAAGAAGCCTAAGCCATGTCAACCAACCCAGAAAGAGATTTTAGCTTTAAGAGAATGTATCTTCTTTATAACACATTTTAGAGGATATGTTTACAGGAAATATTTATCTTATTGCGACGAAAGAAATTTGTTACGTTATTTCTTTGGCACTCTGTATGTGTACATTTTGTCCTAATCAAGTATATCACATAGCAAAGAAGTAAGCCAGTCAAAAAAGTATAAGGGAAAGCCCTTTATATAATGATTGAATTGAAAATGTTATTCTTATAAACTGCAACTTGAAACTGAAATTAATACCTAGAACAATGTAAATGCATAATTTTTATCTTTTTTTATTTTTCACAATACAACCAATAGTATTCTAAACACACTCATCAAAGTTCAAAACACTACATTACGTTTTGTTTAAATACATATAATAGAGCAATATTCCACTGATATACATATACAAGGTGTTCCGTATAGTTATGCTTAGGAGCATAAAGTAGACTTGTGTAATTGTAAAGCCAGCTGGGTCCCCATTAGTAAAAATCCATGTTGTGTGTTGAATTCGCAGCAAATAAATGGGAGAATATCGTAACTACTCTATTTTAATTCCTACAATATTTAAATTTTCTACTTCTGTGTGACCCATTTTAATTAAATAATAATACAAACTGTCAAACAATAACAATAACAATGTTGTCACAATATTACCTGTCACTGTCACGGCCTACCATATATAACATTGTCCATGAGTAAATAGGCCTCTCACGGTCTAATTAGTTAGATTTGGTTAAAATACTTATACCCATTTTGGACTATATCAATGTTCGATATGTCTTTAATATTATCTCGCTTATTGTTAAAGATGGACCCAACAAACCATATATGACTGCTCGGCAGGGAACGTTCTATCCAAATATGTAAAAATATACCATTTAAATTAACAAAGTTAACATCCGCGGCCATTTTGTTTGAACTTCATTTGTATTTCGCGAAGAAAAAACGCTGAGGGTGGTGATACGCGGAATACCTGCGGGTGTTTCGCCAAGTGAGGTCCAACTCGACCTCGCAAGACAAGGGTTCCCCGGCGCAATAGTGCACCGCATGGCGAGCCGTCAAAATAAACAGGAAATGCCCCTGGTCCTAGTTCAGGCCCCACAGGACCAGGAGGACATCCTGAAGGTAACCCGCTGCTGCTCGCTCGTGGTTCGAGTAGAGCTGCAGCGAAAGCAGCGGGTTGCCACACAGTGCCACCGGTGCCAGCGGTTCGGCCACGGCCAGACCCGGTGCACAGCTGAGCCAAAGTGCGTAAAATGTGGCGAAAACCACAGCACGCACGTATGCAAAAAGGCCAAAGACACGCCCGCCAGGTGTGCAAATTGCGCCGGGCCACACCCCGCCAGCTATATGGGGTGCCCTCAGTACCCCAAAGCTAAAAACACAAAAACACAAAACACAGACACACACACGACACAAAACACTACACAAACACACAGACAGCCCCTCCTACCCACCCCAAACACAACCCCAGGACGCACATACGCTGACATGACCAGAAAAACACAAAACACACAAAAACAAAAACACAACACCTCACCACACGCACACACAGACACGACACCCTCCCAACCGGGCGCGGCGGCCCTGATTGACGCAACAAAGCGTCTTCAGGACTTCTGCGTCCAGCTGACGACCATGGTGTCGAATATGCAAAAATTATTCGACTTCTAATGGCTCGTCGGCCCTCCCAACCCTCCTCGCTGAGAATTTCGTCCTGGAACCTTGACGGGTTCCGGGCCAAAAAAACGGAACTCGTGGACATCTTGAACCGTCTAAACATAGACGTTATGGCTGTCCAGGAGACCTACCTCAGCGAGGCATCCCGTACCTCCATCCCTGACTATGACATATACAGACATGACAGAAACCGTAACGGGGGTGGTGTTGCACTCATAGTAAAGAAGTGCATCGACCACTATCCGCTGCAGCGGCTCCAAACTCAAAACACAGAGGCCGTGGCGATAGCGGTGAGATCGCTACGGCATGGAGACGTTGCGGTGGTGTCCTGTTACCACCCACCCAGACTACCACTACTTGACAATGACTTAGACAAAATCCTTTCCTGGCCCCAGACAATTGCCATCGGGGACTTCAACGCGAAGTCCCCCATATGGCACAGCGGGACGACGACCACAAGAGGTCGCGTCCTGCTGAATTACCAAGACAGACACGACGACTTGACTATACTCGGACCGACAGAACCGACACATTACGGACCCGTAGGACGCCCCGACGTTATCGACATTGCCCTCTTAAAATCTATACCGTTAAATGCCCAAATATCCACCCAATACGAAGGGTCTTCCGCCCACAATCCAATATTTCTGGATCTGGGGCGAAGACAGAGATATGAAGGCACCTTCACGAGGAGGTTCACTGACTGGGAGCGTTTCCGAACAGTAATGCAAGGAAACATGGCGCTCCCAGTCATCGAAACCACCCATGATCTGGAGGCGGCAATCCTCTCCCTTGAGACTGACATTAAAAACGCCCTGACTCAGACTACGACGGAGACTATTGTCCCCCGACTGACAAACCCCCGGGGCACCCTCCCCGATGACATAAAAAACTTAATACGTGACAGACGACGTGCGAAACGGCTTGCCACCCGCACCCGCCTCCCCCGACACAGACATGACTTAAACGTACTTAACAGACGGGTGAAGGCGGCTCTGGATGAACTGGCCCAGGATAACTGGGCTAGGCACCTGGAGTCGCTGGATCCACAAGACAACAGCCTCTGGAAAACGCAGAGGGCCCTGCGACAGACCGCTCGCCGTAAAATTCCTCCAATCCACGGTAGTGTGGGGGTGGTTTACACGAACCAGGAAAAGGCCGAGGCTTTCGCCGATAGCCTGGAACTGCAGTGTAGACTGCCTCAGCTGCCCGACGAAGACGAGGAATTCGAGATAGTGGCTGAGCGCGCGGCCCGACGCGTCGACAGAGAGCCAGACAATGACATAATCCCCCCCGCAACACCTGACGAACTAAGACTGACAATACGCAGACTTAAAAACAGAAAAGCCCCCGGACCCGACAATATACATAACACGACACTTAAACGACTACCACACAAGGGCCTCATGGCCCTACTAAACATAACAAACGCGACACTCAGACTAAGACACTTCCCTACCCGCTGGAAAACAGCAAACATAATCCTTATCCCAAAACCCAACAAAGATCACACCATCCCATCCAACTACCGGCCCATTAGCCTGCTCCCGGCTATGAGCAAAGTGGTAGAAAAAATTATCCTAACCCGTCTAAGAACCCACTCCCAAGAACTGCAAGTCATTCCAGACGAGCAGTTCGCCTTCCGACCCAATCACTCCACTGAACTCCAAATCCTTCGCCTTACCGAGCACATCACGGCGGCCTTCAACAGGGGACAGTACACTGGTGCTGTCTTCCTGGACGTCGCAAAGGCCTTCGATACGGTTTGGCATGAAGGCCTACTGATGAAAATGCTCACCAACCAATATCCCATATCCTTTACCAAACTCATAAAATCCTACCTACACCACCGAAAATTCCGCATCCAAATCCAAGATTCCCTTTCCACCACCCGTCCCATGGAGGCCGGTGTCCCCCAGGGCACCGTCCTGTCCCCACACCTATACACCATTTACAACTCCGACATCCCACATCCCCCCAACACCAACATATACTTATACGCCGACGACCTGACA